AAGGAAGATTGGGCAATCTACTTCTGTAGTGATACCACCTTGGAAACCCAAGGAGGGGTTGCTATGAGTCGGATCCAACTCGAAGGCAGTGAGTTTTGTTTGGTTTATTTTCCCTTTTACTTCCCTGAAGACTCAGATCACTAACCTTTCCACCTGTTACCACAATTGCTCAGCATGTACATAAGTTTAGAGTTTGTTACCACACACAAATACTTGGGGCATCATTTCAGGTCACCTAGTTCTATTACTGCCAGAGCATGGGCTTGTTCTTGTTGTTATGTGCCATTGAGTCGGACCCGACTCATAACGACCCCTCCGTGAGTTTCCGAGGCAGTATCACTACGGAAATAGATTGCCCAACCTTCCTTCCGAGGAGTGGATGGTGGGTTTGAACCGCCAGGCTTCTGGTTACCAGTCAAGTGCCTTAGGCACTACGCCACCAGAGCTCCTGAGCATGGGCTTAGACCAAATTATGGCTAAGTTATCCTTGGATAAACCTGAAATTATCCTGGAAGGCCTAGTCTGGTACTGGACTGACCAAAGGGTCAAAGAACATAGGACTCAAGGAGAGAATAAGGTTCAAATGATGCCTTCATCCCTTCCTCAAGGCCCTGTGGGACCCAGTGTGAGAATACAATCAGACAAATTAAGTATGTTCTATGCACAAACTTGAAATATATACCTTAATAATGTCCTAGAAAACTAGGTTTAAATTTAGGACTCTTAAACTCCTCAGCGTTCCATGCAGGAAGATGGCAGAGAGATGAGAACTGCACTTGCACTTACATGGCCTGTCTCCTTTCTCTTCATAACCTTGGCTCTGTCTGCCACCAAGTGAGGTCTTATGTGAGTGTGGACACACCAGTTCTTCTGTTCAAGCTTGCCCACTAGATTTTTCCAAAAACAACCTTGGTTACTCCTTGGATAGCCCAGGGGAGATGACTAAGCAGACCCAGGAAGTGGATTTGGGACCATGTGGGCAGAGAATTCTGGGGTTTCAATATGTGGAGTGCTGTGTCAAAGGAGAGTGTGAACTCCAGCTGGGTACTTCTTGGCCCTGCACACTCCTCGCCCAGTGGGAGTGGTATGGCTGGAGGAAAACCACAGTGGAGCCCTTAAGTATGCTACCCAGGGCAGGTGTCCCTTTTGTCTAGATGTAAGGGTCATTTCCTCTATTCAGATATAGTGCATGCCCTCCTAATAACTTTACTGATAGATGAAGATTCATCATCTGACTTGGTAACTTCTACTCTAGTATTTGCCACAGAGAATATGCTATAGCAAGTATGCATCTCTTCAACTATTCTTAGAAGGAAAAACACTACTCTGGCTTAGAGTAGAGATTTGCTGACTTTCTTTTTAGAGGAGTTGACACAGTCTGGCTGTTGAGGTAGGCAAAACAGAAAGTTTTACCTATAAATCGCTGCTTTAATTTCAAACAAACATTCTAAGTTCTCCAAGTTGTAACAGAAGCTTAAGAAAGTTGATGCCTGTCAATTATACTGCAAAGAAAGATGGCAAAAGACAGAAGGAAACTGAAGCAGCTAAGAAAGGAAAAGAAAAAAAAAAAAAAAGAGTAGGGAGCAGATGGTACTCACTACTTCAGTCTGGACAATACCATATTAAGTGTCAGGTTTTTAGTTCTGTAAGCACAGAAAATTATACAAGAAAATGAGAAACTGAAAATAAATGTAAGATGAAGATAAAAAAAAAAAAAGATTTTTGCCCCAAATATCTAACTTCTTTTAAATACAATGCATGTAATATTGAGATCCACAAGCCATTATGTGTCAGTATGCTGTACTGTGGTGGCTTGCATGTTGCCGTGATGCTGGCAGTTACACCACTTAGGTATTTCAAATACCAGCAGGGTCACCTATGGTAGACAGTTTTCATCAGAGCTTTCAGACTAAGAAAGACTAGGAAGAGATGCCTAGGAAATGACTACAATTAGCCCATGAAACTCTTCTGGACCACAACAGAACATTCACTGTCTGATTCACTTGATTTGAATACATCATCAGAAGGGATCAATTGTTAGAGAATAACATCATGCTTGGTGAAACAGAGAGTCAACAAAAGCAAGGGAAATGGCTGCTAATATATCAAAATTGTGGCATAAATTTTAAAAATTTTGTTCATAGTTTTATATCCTTAGGCTATTTGCTGGGTTGTATGATGGCAAATCTCTAAAATTCCTTTTATCTGGTTATCAAAATCCCCATATGAAAAGTAATTTCATTTAAATAGTTAAGTTGGGTATAGACACAGCAAACTAATTATCTATTAGTTTTTTGACCCTTAACAGACAAATAAGTTCCTCAGCCATCACACACACACACTTATATGCTCATGATCTTCACCTTTGGGGAGAGGAAAAAAAGGAAGCATCCCACTTAACAAATGGTAGTCTGGTTCCACTCAGTCAATTTATAACATTACCTATTACATTTGGATTAAAGGTAAATCACTATTACCTTTAAAAGAGTATTTTTAAAAGAAGGTAAAGAAGAGTAGCTTCTCTCCTCTGATCAATGTCCTTTTTTATATCTAAGTCTTTCATGTAAATAAATACTAGATTTGACATGACAAAAGAATTTTAGTTGAAAAATAGCTTGTAACTTATTAAAAGTTTTAAACTTACAAGCTATTTTTCAACTAAAATTCTTTTAACTAAGGAACTAAGTTGCAGCCAGAATGCTAGTATTATAAAAGTCAATAATATTAGCAATACACATATTAAAAACCTAAGGACCACATAGACATTTGAGGTTACAGACAGTAAGTAAGTCATAACACACTGATGATGTAAGTACTCATCTCTGCTAGTGGACTAAATAACCTTTATTTTTCT